GAGAGGAAGTAATTTGGCCAAAGAGGTTCAATAATGAGAAACAGTACAAGGATATAGGCAAGGAAAAGAGAGGGTACACCACCAACAGTTGATGCTAATAACTAAACTAGTACACTAGCTAGCTGTAGGCAGTTATAAGATATGCAATATAATTCAACACCATATTACCCCGGATAGTAGCGCATATGCACTTATAATAAAATCGTTTTTTTAAGGGGGGGCGCTTGTAAATGAGTAACGGGTAGAAGCGCATGTGCCTGTAAGACGGTAAAAATGAATTTTGTTTTTAAGGGCACCAAATTGAAGCTCTCTTTAAGGCGAACACAACAAAACGTTCGTTCACGTGGTTTCGTGCATGGGTTTCAGGGGAAATCAACCGCGATTCGGTTTCCCACCACAAATTCGCGTCCAGAAGCAACGCACCTGGCGTTGCTGACTCGAATCCTGCCGTGCGGCCCAATCGCATTGTCATGCGCCTCACGGCAGCCGATTCCACCCGAACCCTCTAGAAGGGGGGGGGGGATCTTTCCTGCCCGCGGTGACGCAAATCCTGCCGTGCGGTCCAATCACAGCGGGATTCGTTGCCATGCAGGCAAATTCCACCCGAAGCCACTAGAAGGTGGTGGAATTTTCCATGCCAACGCAGCGTCGTGCACGCCACGCATGGTCCTCTGCGGGTTTAGGCGGGGGTTTCCCGTCGGTCATCGACGAGGACCCCGAGGCGCTAAGGCGAAGGGGTCCCTCCAAGTTCATTTCATTCCTCATTCTTCCTCATTCGGATTCAGTTTTCATGCCTCTCCCGCCAGGCTGCTTCAGCCATGGCGGAATTCTCTGGCACGCATTTTCTCTTCAAGAAGAAGCCTACGAGGCGTGCGTTTACCGTTACCGACGACGGATGGTACTGCCGTGCCCCACCAGAGCCCCCCGAGCTACCAGCGCCTCCTGCGCCTCCTGTCCCCCCTGCTCCTCCTGCTCCTCCGTCGCCTCCCGCGCCTCCTGCTCCTCCGAATCCTCCTCCTCTTGAAACCTTGGACAACCGGCCCGTGCTCCAGCTTTGCCCCCATCTCCTTGCGACCTTCAACGAGTGGCTAGAAAAACCTGTCAGGGACAAGCCTCAAGATGAGTACACCGAGGCTCCCGCGCCGGTGCCACGCTGGGGCGAGCCCGTAGACTGCGCGTGGGATGAATCCGCCGTGGGCGCTGACGACGACGTGGATGCCGAGGGCGCGGAGGGCGACAAGGGCACCGAGGCTGACGAGGAGACCGGCACAGAGGGTGGCACCGAGGCGGGCACCGAGGCCGATACGTTTCCCGAGGGCGCCACGGGCGGCGACGACGACGACGGTGTCGAATACTGGTCGCGCGATGGCCTTCCTGAAAAATTGCCGATACCGACTTATCCACCGATTAACCGCAAGCGTCCCCACCCTTCTTCACAGAACCGTGATGCCCGCCCCCCCTCTCCCAGGCACAAGATGACGCAGCACAAGCGAAAGGGATACACAGCCCAGGAAAAACTGAAGTGGCTCGCGCTGCTAGAAGTGGCGGTTTCGGTGCACGCTCTATCTCGTGAGTCCGGCATCCATCGGAAGTGTCTGACGCAGTGGAAGAGGGAGGTGGCCGTCCTGAAAGACGCTCACGGTGCACGGATGCGGATGCACGGTCGCGGCCGAGCTTCTTGGTACAGGCCTATGGAGCTTAAGGTCTATGCGAGGCTTCTTGAATGGCGGCGCAAGGGATGCGCCGTCTCAGTCGGTCGTCTGCAGGAGTGGTCGAAGGAATTCATGCAGATTCTCTTCCCCGACGTCAAGTGGAAGGGTAGTCAGCGGTGGTCGGAGCGGTTTCGCCGGCGCTGGAATTTGAGCGTCCGCATGAAGACGAAGGTAGCACAGAAAACTGCCGCACGTAAGTGTTTCTCTTCGTTTTAGTAACATACGCAACCTACCACCGTAATATCTTTTGTACGGTAACAACTGTTTTAATCTCCCTACCATGTTCCCCCCACTTACGTCTGATTCACAGATGTCGCGGAGCAGTGCGCGAACTTCTGGGGGTTCGTCCGCAACAACCGTCGTGAGCGCGGGATCGAGACGACGTGGATAATTAACGCCGACCAGACTCCGCTATGGCTGGAGATGCCCGCCACCACCACTGTGGATCACACGGGAGTGCGCTCGGTGCCCATCAAGAGCGCTGGTTACCAGAAGCAGCGCGTCACAGTGATGTTGGCGTGCACGGCTGACGGGGTGAAGATGAAACCATGGGTCTTCTTCAAGCGCAAGACGGTGCCGAAGGGGGATTTCCCGTCGGGTAGGAATCCTTGTCTATTTACATTTTTGTGCTTGTACTGAGTCATAAGAGGCTAACTACACCCCCTTGTTGCGTGCGCAGATGTGGTGGTGGGGTGCAAAGACAACGGTTGGATGGACGCCGACGGCGTACTGAAGTGGCTTGTGTCAGAATGTAATGTTTGTCTAGCCTGCAGTGGGGTACTCTATAGTGAGTACAGCCCGAATTAGGGTTTACTATATGTATCTCAACTGCTGCTAGTGAAAACCCCTTTTTCTGTTTCTAGCTTGTGCCTGCTATTTCGACATACTATCAGAGCAGGTCGACCCTCCTGGGTCGATCCTGTGGGAGGGCCCCACCCGATGCTTCCGCTGCTCTACTGCCTATAGCGCGCCCCGGGCGCGTGCTGTTTCCTGCCTGTCGCGCGCTCTGGGCGCAAAGCGATTTTTTCTTTCCGCCGCGCGCTCGGGGCGCGCGGCGGTTTTCTGCCCCGTCGAACCACGCGTCGCCCCCTGTCGACCGTCGCGTCGCCCCTCGGAGCCGCGCGCGACCTCCGCTCCCCCGTCGCGACGCCCTGGGGAGCCGCGCTGCCCTCGCTGCTTCGTCGCGGCGCCCTGGGGAGCCGCGCGCGGCCCCCCCCGCTGCCCGTCGCGCCGCCCTGGGGAGACGCGCGCAGCCCCCCGCTGCCCGTCGCGCCGCCTTGGGGAGCCGCGCGCCTGCCCCCGTCGACCTGCGCGCCCGTCCCAGTCGACCCGCGCGCCACTCCCGTCGAGCCGCGCGCCGTCCCCCGCGCTCCTGCCCGCGCTCCGCCCCCCGCTGCTTCCTGTGTTAGGGTTTGGGGGTGGCGGGTGTGGGGGTGGCGAGTATGGGGGTGACAGGTGTGTGAGGCCTTCCCTGCTCCTCCTCCTCCTCCGTCTCCCACTGCTGCAGCTGCCGCTGAGGGGGGTGGATGTGTTGGAGCCGTCGGAGTGGTACGAGGGGGGTGGCGTGTGAGCGGTGCTAGAGGTTCAACAAGGGGTGTGTGAAAGGGGTGTGGGACAGCTGGGGGAAGTTGTGTGGAGGCAGTCGTCTTGTCGTCCGCAGCGCCTGAAGTCCAGAGAGCCACGACCCCCTGTGGCCTGAGTAGTTCGGGGCTCTGCGTCCGGTAGCCACAGTGTGAGCACTCCTGGTAATCCAGAGAGCCACGACCCCCTGTGGCCTGAGTAGTCCGGGGCTCTGCGCCCGGTAGCCACAGTGTGAGCACTCGTGGGAGCACAGAGAGCCAGCTGCGCCTGTCGCTGTGTAGTCCGGGTTTAGCCTGGTAGCGACAGTGCTGCGCACTCCTGCTGCCTGTGTGTCTGCAACTTCAGCCGTCGCCTCCCATCTTCTCGCCCTCATAGTTTCTCCTCCTCCTCACTTGCTCTCTGTGATAGCCTCTAGTTTTGCTTATACTTGATTGTACCCCACTTTGACTATGGGGGTGTGTCAAAATGTAATGTTTGTCTAGCCTGCAGTCTATAGTGAGTACAGCCCGAATTAGGGTTTACTATATGTATCTCAACTGCTGCTAGTGAAAACCCCTTTTCTGTTTCTAGCTTGTGCCTGCTATTTCGACAGCTTGACGGGTGTATCAAGCCTTTCGTAAGGCCCCGGTTCGGCAGGCAGGTGAGGAGCGCCATGCTGGTTCTAGATTCGTACCGCGGGCATCTCACGGACGAGGTGAAAGAGAAGTTTGCCGAGCTCAACATCGTCCCGGCAGTCATCCCGGCAGGCTGTACGTCGGAGATACAGCCGCTCGACGTATCGGTCAACAAGAGTTTCAAAGCCTCCGTCCGCCAGCAGTACCAGAGCTGGTTTGAGGAGGAAGGCTTGGAAAGGCTGACACCAGCAGGTAAGATGGGCTTAGTTGTTAATCCTAAACTCGCGTTAAATGCTTCCCCCCCCTTTGTTGAACTAATCTCCCCCTGCTTGTCATGTGGTGCAGGGAACCTCAAGAAGCCGCCTCCAGAGGTGGTTTTGAGGTGGATCTCCCGGGCCTGGAAGGCAGTCTCCGCCGATCTCATCAAGAAGGCGTTCCTGACTTGCGGCATAAGCAACGCCCTTGACGGGAGCGAGGACAACCTCGCCATGGCGCACAGGAGGGGTCAACTGTCGCACGAAGTCGACGTGGACGACGACATCATGGCCGACGGCTTCTGGGGCAACAACTGCACGGAGCCTGAGTCAGACAATGAGGACTAGCTATGCTAACGGTAGAGATGCTAGAGATTAGAAGGCGTTGCAGTAGCTACCGCAGAATGAATGCTGTTCACCAACGTGGTGTAGTCCAATCATCAGAATGTTTGATTGTCTTGTGATTGTCCTTGAGGTAGTAGATTAGATAAAATGTTTCATAATAAAATTACTAAAAAAAATAACAGGGATGCGCTTATAACAAGTACAGGTTTCCCAAGGGGTGTGCTTATAATCGAGTCGGCGCCATAAGCGCATGGCTCCAGATAGAAGCGCCGGCGCCCTTATTCGGACGGCGCCCTTATTCGGACGGCGCTTATATCCGGGGCTATACGGTACCACATGTTATGTTAGTGCATCACATGGAGGGAACCAACCAAGGGTAATGGTACCACCATAAAATTCAGCATAAAGAGGTTACAGGAAATAACAGCGCCAGGGTCTTGCCAAGGCTGGCATAGCTATAAACAATTCAACAAAGTCGCAAGGCCAACTTCATTTCAAATGACAGAAAGCGGGTACTTGTACTGCTTCGTGCTCACTCCAGCCAGCAACCTCTCGTCAACAATCCACGAATGCACGTGTTCCAAAAAAGTCTTCCCTTCAGGCCTGAATTTCCTCGGTACGTACGTCGCTGCGGCATTCGCGTCGTAGCTCTCGATAGGCCGGGCCATGGCGAGTCCTGGGGTGTGCGCGAGCCCCGCGAAATACGCTTCCGCCATGAACGCTACTGGTGCTTCGGCTCCGTCATTCTCTTGCTTCAGATTTGCAAATTTGTCGCCGAGACCAGCAGCGTACTTCTCGCTCATTACGAGATCCGATAGCATCAACGGACAGCGCATATAGTGTCCCCGGTCCGTCCCTTCGAGAACATCTAAAGCAGCAACCGCTTTCGAATTCACTTCATACACTTCCCCCTGAACCCTGTGACCGCTGCCAGGCAGATGAAGCAGGAATGGCACCTGGAACGGACCGCAAACGAGCGGGTAATTCTGTAGCGTTTGAGCGGTCCCGATCTTTACGGCGTCGCCGTCGGCCATAAGTTTCTGCATAAGCCAGTGATTCCCGAATCCCTTCTTCAACGTGCCATACACGAACGCCAGCGAATGGCCTTCGCGAGGAAACGGCAAATCGCCGGTCACTTCGTTGGCTTCCTCGAAGTCAAGGGGAACCGCCGGCGACGTCGCCGGAAGGTACGCGCTCCTGCTTGTGACTTCCAGGTCGGCCTGAGACTGGCTGTGCGACAGCGCGGTCAGGCAGGGAGAGGACGCGGAGGTACGCAGCTGCGCGGACGACGTCATGCGGACAGGAGAAGCGGATACACAGAGCTTCTCCTGAGAGGAGACGACATGGCCTGATGAGAGGCGGCTGGATGATGCTACAGCCGAGCAGGCAAGAATAGAGGCCATCCCAATCCGATAATGAATCTGGAAGCAGGGTCACGAGAGACAGAATAGGGATTTGAACGAAGATGATGAGGAGGATGGTACCATGCAAAACACATCAAGAAGGTGAAGACAGGTCGAAGGAAGAGACAGTACGAAGCTGCCGAAAATAACTAACTAAGCAACATCGTGACTATACTCTTGCTAGTAACATGACGGGACGGACAGGGCGAGAAGGCTCTAGCTATTGTACAAAGAAGCAACGACAGGAAAGAATCTGAAATCCGACCTGCTCAGGCGAGAGACTGCGTCAGCGCTCGACGAGGAACAAGAGCACAAACCCCCACAGAGCTGGGGACGGGCGCTCACACCTCACGAGAAGCAGCAGAGCAGGACACGCAGAGGACTAAGATAATGAGTGGATTGGATGACGAAGGTTCAGACACAGAAGTGGAGCATTTGTAGGAGCAAGAAACTGGAGAGAGCGGGGAGAAGGTCGGGAGGGAAACGGGGGTAAGGGGGGATTTACCTTGGCGGAAGAGGGGAAGGGGGATTCCTTTCGCGAAACGAGCGAATTCGGCCTGCTTCGCTGGCACTGGTAACCCTTCCATAAAAGTTTCGAGCGTCATTCCGCGCAGAAACGGTGATGGCAGGGAAGTTCGGCGGCACTCCCTGAGCGCCCCCCTTCCCCTCAACCACCTCGAAGCGGTGGGTTGTTCCGAGCGTAGCCACAGGCTTTTCTGGAACGCGTGTGATGTCATGCATGTCATGTCACGCGGGCACGCTTGTGAGGACGAGAGTGGCGGGATTTCTGGAGCAGCGAGTGCACGAATCAGCTTCCACGGCTTTTGCGGCTCTTGGGGATAAATGGAGTCAGCTTACCCTTGATAACCAAACAAGAGCCGCGTGATTCCAGTGAGACGTGGAGCCAAGTCAGCGGAATAGGTATCCACCGTCAGACCAAACGGGAACCGTGAATGAACAAGCGGATCGGCCCACGTGCTTGCCAGATTTCGTCACCTGCCACCACAATGTCATCGTCCAAATTATTTGAAGCACGCGTGATGCCAAGAGTTTCGATGTAAAATGGTCTGGTAATAAAATTCTGCGGACTTCTGAATGAATGGAAAACTCAAAACAGTATGCACCTTTTCTGTCAGCCTGAACATTCCATGGTGTTTACCATCAGCACGCACATTCCCAGCACTACCGTACATAAAATTTCTCTGATAGCATGCCGTAAGTGAAGGACGATTTTGTTTGCCATACATAATTCCTCCCCACACACATATCTACTATCTCATGTCAGAAGAATTTTCGTGTGAAGTTCATTAGTTGTGCATAATAGCTTGCATCTCCATTCACTATCTGGGAGTGTGTGTTCCTGGTAACATACACAACATAAGCATACAGCAATCAGATTTTCTATGCTGCCATGGCCTCTCCACCCTCCTTCACATCCCCATCAGCTTCCTGCGCAGCTTCCCTCATCACATCTTGTCCATCGGCAGGAGCAGCAGCAGCAGCAGGAACAGCCTCCTCTGCCTGCTTCACACCCTCCTTTTCCTCCAGCTTATGCAAGCGTGCAAACAAGTTGCCGTAAATCTTCTTCTCCTTCTGGTTCTGCTCGGCAATCTTGCGCTTCAATTGCCGATACTCCAGCTTCAAGTCCCTGGTAGGGGGGTACGCGGGGGAACAGCAAGGGGGACGACTTGTGAGTTGACTGACAATCTCATTCTGGTTCTGCTCTGCAATCTTCCGCTTCAGCTGCCGATACTCCAGCTTCAGGTCCCTGGTGGGGGGGTACACGGGGAGGAACACAAGGGGACACTTGTCAGCACCTGTAACGAGTTCATCCTTGCTGCTGGGAGTCGAGTTTCATGTTCCAGGTAATATGAAGCAGCAATACAGTAAGGTATAGGGAATTTCGACTCAGAGTTTAGCGTCAGGTTTGTGCCCTGGCCTTCCACCACAAGCTCACCTGTTCGCAGGGTCGAGATCACGAGCTGGTTTAATGACCCATTTTGCCAAATAACAGTTCTCCGTGCCTGTATATGCCTGGGCACGCCAGTGCAGCACTGCACCTTACCACATTAAGACCCAAACTACAGTGCTCACCTATTCTCAGGGTCGAGGTCAAGAGCCTTCTTGACGTCCCACTCAGCCAAGTCCTAGTCCTCCATGCCCATATACGCCTGGGCTCGCCGATACAGCGCTCACACCCAAGCTCACTCCCATGCTCACACCCACGCTAACACCCACACTCACCTGTTGTCTGGTTCAAGATCGAGAGCCTTCTTGACATCCCACTCCGCCAGGTCATAATCCTCTGTGCCCACATATACGCCTGGGCTCACCAATACAGCACCTTCACCCCAAGCTCAGTTCCATGCTCAACCCCACGCTCACCTGTTCTCAGGGTCGAGGTCAAGAGGTTTCTTCACGTCCCACTCAGCCAAGTCATAGTACTCAGTGCCCATATACGCCTGGGCGCGCTGATAAAGCGCTGCACCTTACCACTGAATGCTCAAGGCTCACGCTCACCTGTTGTCCGGTTCAAGATCGAGGGCCTTCTTGACGTCCCACTCAGCTAGGTCGTAATCCTCCGTGCCCATATACGCTTGGGCCCGCCGATACAGCGCCTTCACGTTCGTCCCCTCCAGCTCCAGCACCTTACTCGTCAGCTTCACCGCCGCTGGGAAATCCTTCAGCTTCAGCTGGCAAGCTGCCTCGTTCAACCCGCACGACACTTTAAGAACCTTGCACGCCTTCTTCTCCTCGTCTTTAAACTGCGTGTCGTACTCGATCAGCTTCATCGCCTTGGAGTATTTTTTCGCTGCCCGGACGTATTTTCCGGACTTGAAGAGCACGTTACCCTCCTCCTTTTTCTTTGCCGCGTGTGCGACCTTCTCCTCATCCCCAAGCTCCCAGGATTCCTTATCCTTGACAAACTCTGCCAGCCGAAGCTCATACACTAGCGTCGAAATAGCAGGGACTGTGGTTTTTTCCAGGGTCTTTTCCTCAGTGCCGTAGGCGTATTCTGGGGCGATGGTGATGGTGGCGAGTTCTCCCTTCTTCATCTTCATCACTGCTTTGTCCAGCCCAGGCACGACTTGGTCTGAAGGGAAGCAGGGAGGGAGGGGGGCGGAGGAACAGATGGGGAGGGATTCAACAGAGGAACCAAGGTAGAATTGGCAGGAACTGTGCCCTTTTCCAGGGTCTTTTCCTCGGAGCCATAGGCATATTCCGGGGCAGTAATGATGGTGGAGAGCTCTCCCTTCTTCATCTTCATCACTGCCTTGTCCAGCCCAGGCACGACTTGGTCTGAAGGGACGAGGATGGATTACACAGAGCCGGAGGGTTGAAGTTGAGAAAATGAGCCACTATTTCTCTGGAACAATGGTGATGGTGGCGAGTTCGCCCTTCATCTTCATTACTGCTTTGTCTAGCCCAGGCACGACTTGCTCAGAAGGAAGGCAGACAGGGACGGAAGGGCGTTGATAGAACATGGGGGTTTAGGTCAGTGACAGGCATTTTCCTTCGCGAGAGCAGTTCTCCCTTTTTGTTCATCACTGCCTTGTCCAGACCAGGCACAAACTGCTCTGACGGAAAGCAGCCAGGGATGGAACGAATTTGACAGGGCAACAGGATTTAGCTGAGTGAAAGTGAGGCCTTTCTTTCGGGTGGCGAGCTCCCCCATATTCATCACAGCTTTATCCAGCCCAGGCACGACCTGCTCACCTTCATCCGTGGTGAACTCGAAGGGATCCTCCCCATCGCCCATGCCTTTCTCCTCCACCACCGTTCCGTCCTCAAGCCGCAGAGTGTAGCGCACTGTGTGGATGGAAGGGAATGAGAGAAAAAGAAGGAAGAAGAAATCAGAATGCAAGGAAATGGATCGGATGTGAAAGAACCTAGTACTAGAGTGTATGTGAGACAAGCTTACAAACGAGGTGGATTTCGAGAACTGAACGTAGTGACAAGACCAATCCATTGACAAATCCCTCCTCCACCTTCCTCCACGCCATCAGCCCCACGCCCCACACTCCTAGTAGTCTGTGACTCGACCAATCCTCCAGACTTCAGACCTGCCAGAGCGCGTACCTTTGACAACCGACTCGTCGTTGGGTCGCTCGTACCCCTCCCCCCCTCAATTTCCTCCTTCATGACCTTCCCATCCTCTGTCACCTTCTCCACCTTCCTCTACGCCACCAGCTCCAGGATAATCCCAGCCCAACCCAGCCAAACCCAGCCAAACCCAGCCAAACCCAGCCAAACCCAGCCAAACCCAGCCAAACCCAAACCAACCCAGCCAAACCCAGTCCATCCCAGCCTAACCCAAAACACAACCACAGCACGCACCTTTGACAACCGACTCGTCGTTGGGTCGCTCGTACCCCTCCCCCGCTTCAATCTCCTCCTTCATGACCTTCCCGTCCTCTGTCACCTTCTCCACCTTCCTCCACGCCACCAGCTCCAGGTCAATGCTCAGCGTCTCGTTTGGCGGAATTGCCGGCTGGCCGTCAGTCTCTGGACGGCCGGTTTCTCCAAAACCGTCTGTTGGCGTTTACATAAAACAAGAGACGAAATGATCAGGATGCGATAGGGGATGCAACTGCATACGGGGGAACACTAGGGGGGGGGAGAAGCAGGCAACAAGGGGACACAATCAGCTGTCACACTCACACTGCAACTTCACAGTGGACAATTTACTCACACTGGGGCTTCACAGTGAGCAGGACCTTCTCCCCCTAATGCATCGTCTTGATAGCGCGCGAAAGAGCCGCGCAGAAGTGGCTTCACGATAAGCAGAACGGCATATAACAACTCGAAACACTCACACTGAGGTTTCACGGTGAGCAGAACCTTCTCCCCCTGGTGCATCGTCTTGATAGCGCGCGGAAGAGCAGCACACAAGTGGCTTCACGATAAGCAGAACGGCATATAACAACTCGAAACACTCACACTGAGGTTTCACTGTGAGCAGGACCTTCTCCCCCTGGTGCATCGTCTTGATAGCGCGCGGAAGAGCCGCACAGAAGTGGCCGTCCTTGAGGTAGAACTGCTCGCCGTCGTCGCCCGTCTTGGTTACCACAGTGCCGTCGTGTAACCGCACCTCGTACTTCACTGCACGCACAAGAGAAAGAGCGGATTGGGACGAGGAGTTATAACCTTCAGTCTCAGCCTCGCTATAAGCTTACTCGCGCTTGACTATATCAACGGACCTCTCGCGTCTCTTTTCATTGTGAGCTTTCGCGGAGTGAGGCGTACCTGTGACCTTGTCCATGTCCTTGGGCGTCTCCCACTTCTTGCCCTCCACGAGGATCTTCTTGAACACGCCGCCATCGCCGCAGATGTCCTTCACGCTGATCCACGACAGCAGCTCCACCTCGAACTTCAGCGTCGCGTTCGCCGGGATCGTCGGCGGAGAGCCAGCCTCGCCATAAGCGTACTCGGGCTTGATTGTGAACACGGACTTCTCGCCTTTCTTCATGGATGCGATACCCTTATCCCATCCCTTAATGACTTGGCCTGCAGGCAGCAGGAAAATAATGCGCAGAAAAAGAGATGTGAGCCGGGTGTTTTGGAGAATTATAAAAAAGCCATCGCTCGGGTCAGAGAAGTCGCA